GGCATACATGTGTCAAAACATCATGCACATGGTAAGTATATTAAATTTTTATTTGTGAATCTTCCTTTGAAAGCGGTTTCTCACAATTATTCTCTCTCTAAGGAACTGAAGAAAGAGCCCAATCATTTTTATTATTTATTTTGAACTCATGTGAAGATCTTAGTTACTAGACCTTTGTGCACATTCTGTCATTTAAACTTCATGCCCCAAAGTGAGCACCATGATCTTCAATTTACAAATGGGAGAACTGAAGTCTTAGAGAGTAAGTAGCTTCCTTTCATGGTTTTTTCTACAGCTCCAAATTCAAAACAAGCATGTTGAAAGCATCCACTCTTTTTCCTTTCACTTGTTCATATTTCTTTCTCTTCTTTGCTGAAGGCATTTTCTTGTCATCCCTTTTTTCTTCAGTATTCCATTTGCAATGGTTCCAGCTAAAATGGGGAGGGAAGGATCCTATCTTTACTACCTGCCTTTTGGCTATTTCCTTCTGACTTTTGTCCCTGTCTTCTCTTTCGTCAGTCCCTTTCACTCCTAAACGTGGACCCTGGAGAGCTGCTGCCCTAGGGCTCAGTTACCAGCTCTCCTAGCAGAGAGCCTGTGCAGAAGTTTCTGGCAGCTGGGCCCCTGCTCACTTCATATTCACAATCTCTGCCCCTCACACTATGCTTTGGTCTTGGTATCTGGCCCTCTTTCTCTTTCCTGTGATCACATGGCTACTTATGCTCCCGTTTGTAGGACTAGGACCTCACTTTCCTTGCTGTGAAAATTCTTCTCTGTTTCACAGGCTCCCCTGGGGCATGGATCAGGAGCTGTGCCCTCCTTCTGGGCCTTTGTCTCAGGCCTGGCCCCTGTGAACTTAATAAGGATTGTGGTTTGAATCTTCACATGTTACCTATTTCCTTACTCCCTGTCAGGCGACTCTGATCTTTCTATCACCTATTTTAGAACATTTATTTAGGATGATTATATAATTTGGCCACTTTTGAAACTGAAAGGAGGCCGGGCACAGTGGCTCACACCTGTAATCCCAGCATTTTGGGAGGCCGAGGCAGGTGGATCACCTGAGATCATGAGTTTGAGACCAGCCTGACCAATATGGTGAAACCCCATCTCTACTAAAAATACAAAAATTAGCTGGGTTTGGTAGCATGTGCCTATAGTCCCAGCTACTCTGGGGGCTGGGACAGGAGAATTGCATGAACTTGGGAGGTAGAGGTTGCAGTGAGCTGAGATCGTGCCACTGCATTCCAGCCTGGGCAACAGAGCAAGACTCCATCTAAAAACACACACACACACACACACACACACACACACACAAACCCAAAAAACAACACAGACCAAAAGGAGGGGTTTTAACAATAATATTAGGATAACAGGCACACTTTGGGCTTTACCCTTGTATGAACTGGAGATTTTGCACAAGGCTTTGTCAGTTAAATTTTAGGAAAGCTGGGTCACATTTCTATACCATAATTTTCTCTACCATAAAATCAGGTTAATAGTAGTACCTGGGTCCTGAGTTATTGTGAGGATGAAATGAGTTTACATACGTAAAGCATTTAGAACAATGACCTGTACATAGTAATCATTTAATATATTTAAACCATAATTACATTATTAGTATATCTATGATATTGAGCAAAGTAATTAACTTCTCAAAGTATGTGAGAATTGAATGTGATCATGCATGTAAGGTACATAGGGCTGTTGCTGGCACATTATGTAAAATAAGTGCCTGAGTGACCACCTCCCTCCTCCAGACCCTTCTCTTACAATATGACTTTATCTCTTCTTGCTATACAACTAACTCTGTTCTACCCCCATCCACAACCTCTTCTCACTTGTCTACCCGTGTCTGTTGCTTGTATTTCCTGTTCCAACAATGTGTTAAGCAACATCTGAAAGCCAGAAGACAGTTGCCTCTGACACCAGTTTCCTAATCATCACTAAGGCCTGGGAAGATGCAATGGACCAGCCAGGCACCAAATGCAGATGTGATTGGCACACTGGTCAGTCAGCCCGCAAAACATTTTCACCAACTCCTCTGAAGTGTTGCATAAGGCAAAGATCCGTTAAGTCTGTGGAGGCTGCCATTTTCTGGAAAGGGTGCTGTAGTGATCTTTTCTGAGTGTCTCCTACTTATGACAAGTTGGACTTGGGAGGAAAGACATCTGCCAAAGCTTGAAGCTGCCAAGGTATAGATTCCCTCTCCATAGAAATTCCCTTTTCTTTTATGTCTTTTGTTAAAATGCCTTCTGGTAGACTACTGGGGCTGTCTGCCAAGGTTTCTGTTTGGTTGCTATGTAGAGGTTTGGAATATTTCACTGTGAGCATGGCCTCTCTTTAGGATGTGATTATTCCGCTGGAGTCATAATAAAATGTTAGACATAATAATGCAGGAATTTCTTTGGAAAAAATGTGGGTATGGATACACACACATGCACACACACCTCTTAGATATATTAAATCCCACTGACTGCACCTGAGTTTGTCTGCCAGCTCTGATTATGAAGGGTGGCCTGGACATGCCTGAAGTATGGGGTCTGTAAAATGCATTTTAGTATAGCTTAGGGGACAGTAGAACGTAATGATCGCTTGAGATGGATTACCAGGTTCTGACTTGTAGTTTTTCAAATAGTTGTCTGCGTGGACTTGGGAAAGTTATTTAACTTCTCTGTTCCTCAGTTTCTTCGTCTGTTAGATGGAAAGGATCATAACAGTAGTACCCATTCATCTGATGTTGTGAGAACTAAATTAGTAAACATGAGTAAAGTCCTTAGAACAAACACCTGCCACATACTAAGAGCTGGAGAGGCGAACTTAACTGGCCGTTTCCTAGAAAATCTACATTTCTTTGATTTTTTAACAAATAAATAACTGATTTGACCAAATTTTAGAAAACATAGTTTGTTTCACCTGAAGGTTGAAAATTCTCCCTGATTATTTTGATTATTGATACAAATCAAGTTAAATAACATGGTTAGGTATTTTCTCTCTGCAGAAATGCTCTTGGAGTTTCTGGGATGAGAGGCTCCAGTGCTTGCAGACGTATTTTCCATTATCATTTATCAGAATGGCTACCTTGGGCTGGACCAAAAGTCTGGTTATTGATTGAACATGTGTTAGTGGAGTACTTACCATCTAATGATTCTGAGCTAGGCACTGGAGTGGCAGTTATGAGTGGATAATGAGGTAACAGACAAGTATCCAGGCAGTTAGAGCTCAGGTTGATTAAATGGTATGAGAAGGGAAGTTGGGGAAATTCTGAGAGCATCTAAAAAGGGTGCATCTTCCAGACTTGGCCAGAACTAAAAACAACATCCTGGAAATATGACATGTAGGCTGAAAATCAGTCTGGAAGGGCCGGACATGGTGGCTCACGTCTGTAATCCCAGCAATTTGGGAGGCTAAGGTGGGTGGATCACCTGAGGTCAGGAGTTCGAGACCAGCCTGGCCAATGTGGTGAAACTCCATCTCTACTAAAAATACAAAAATTAGCTGGATGTGGTGGTGCGTGTCTGTAATCCCAGCTACTTGGGAGCGTGAGGCAGGAGAATTGCTTGAACCCGGGTCACGGAGTTTGCAGTGAGCCGAGACTGGTCCACTGCACTCCAGCCTGGGAAACAAAGTGAGACTCCATCTCAAAAAAAGAAAAAAAAATTCAGTCTGGAGGGAGAGCAGAAATTATCCACGTGAAACTTGAGGGAAATTGTCTTTCAAGCATAGGGGGATAGCACAGAGTATTGAAGACATTTGAGGGCATGGAACTTCTGAAGGAAGACAAATTAATAAAACAAGGCTGGATGGAGCTTTGAAATAGGGAGATGTAGGCAAGAGATTTAAAAGTTGATACCAGCTGTTCATCCAGTCTACCACTGATGGACATCTAGGGTGATTCTATGTCTTTGCTATTGTGAATAGGCAAGAGATTTTCTGATCATAAGCAGCAACTCTCTCCACATTGCATGCATCTTAGTTCATTAGATATTTAATCCAAAAGACATATAATTTTCCAGTGGATAAATTTGAAGTCTTGGCTTTTTGACTATTTTTATTTGTACCTCTTGCAATAATTACATTAGGAACTCATTCACATAGTTTGCTTTAAGCTCTGTTGATCTTCCCTTGCTCTTGGGTTCTGTACAGTGTTGAACATGGGAGGTAAAGGCTCCTTGTGATTTTACATTCATCTATATTTAAATACGTAGAGAATGTAATTTAATCCTAGCATGAAAATCAGTGTTGGTAGGAAACTTTGATGAGGAGTATTGGTAGCAAAATTTTATGACATTTATAATAAACTTTTTATCAGTATTGGTAGGGAACCTTTATGAATTTTTATAGCATTTCCTAGTGTAATAATAAAACATGCCCTGACTCTCACTTTCTTTTAAATTAGTGCTTAGTAAATTTGTTACCACACTTAAATGAGGGTCATACATGTCCCCACAATAGAGAATTAGAAAGGTAAGCATCCTGTAAGTGGCATGTATTTAGTGTGACAAAAAAAAACTAAGTTATTAGAAAAATGGATCTGGTATATAATTTCTAACAAAAAGTAGAAATTAAGATACTATTCTTTCTTTTTAAATAAAAAGCATTTATTTTACATTTAGGGGTGCATATACATGTTTGTTGTATAGGCAAGTTCATGCCATGGGAGTTTGCTGTGCAGATTGTCACCCAGGTACTAAGCCTAGTACCCAATCATTATTTTTCCTGATTTCCTTCCTCCTCTCTCTGATAGTCCCCAGTGTGTGTTTTTCCCCTCTATGTGTCCATTTGTTCTTATCATTTAGCTCCCACTTACAAGTGAGAACAAGTGATATTTGCTTTTCTGTTCCTGTGTTAGCTTTCTGAGGATAATAGCTTCCAGCTTCATCCATGTTCCTGCAAAAGACATGATCTCATTATTTTTTATGACTGCATAGTATTCCATGGTGTGTATGTATCACATTTTCTTCATCCAGTCAACCATTGATGGACATTTGGGTTGATTCAATGTTTTTGCTATTGTGAATAGTGTTGCAATGAATGTTCTTGTGCATGTGTCTTTATTACGATCTTATTCTTAACACAGTCAATAGTTTTGACAGAATTCAGCATCATTTCGTGTGTTTATGGTTCATCCCATGCCATCTCCCTTATCAGTTATAAAAGTGTATAAGCATTTTACAACCGTTTTGTGTTGGAGGGTATTATGAATTAGAAAATTATATTGCCCAGCATTCAGAAGTTCAATATAAGCATTCTGTGCATACTTTAGTGATACACATATTTTCTAGCTATAATGATTGAGGTGGTTGTTTTGTGACCTTATATACAAACTTGAAGTCCTTTTTGTCAGAAGACAGAGTATAAGTTTAAAGTTGATACCACCTGTTCATAAATTAAGAATTCCCTATGTTATCAAAGTCAACTCATGCAATGTTAATATGAAATGAAAATTATTCCCATTTTTACAGAAGTCAAAACTCAGGTTCCCACTACATGGTCTGCAACTAGTAAATGATGAAATCTGGATTTGAATTTGGATCTTCCATAGTACTTAAACTCTGCCATGTTATGTTGATATTCAGAAAGATATCTCCTATATAGTGCTATATAATGTAATGATTTGAAAAATATTGGACCTTAGAGTAGAACTTTTTTAGTATAATATGAAATCATTAAAGCTATATGAGTTTGGGTTAGTTTCTCAACCTCTCTATGCCTCAATTTTTTCATTTGTGAAATGGAAATAATATTACAACAAACAGGATTAAATATATTAATATATTGACAGCAACTAGACAGTGCCTAGCATATAAATAAGTACTAAATAAATGGTATTATTACTGGACTGTGGCTAAAGCCATCATTCTTATATAAGAAACCACTGCTCAGAGAATCCATATGTCTGGTTGCTCACAACTGATTTGAAGAAATGCGGGGGCTATATATCAGTGCATGCAAAATGAGAAAGAAATTGCTCTTTACCACCCCAAAGTTAAGTGAAGTACCAAGGCCTACTACAATGACCTAATGATGTCTACTACTCCAAGGCAAGACAGAATTGAATATTGTACAAATTCCGTTACTCTGCCCTGGTGTCCCATATGTAGAGAGTCATTGTAATGTATGGACAGGATTGAATCCTTCTATAACACTCAAAATTTTAGTAGCTAGTGGAAAAAGGGAAAGCATAAAGCCTTTGGATTTCTTTTCTATCACAGCCATAAACAACCCCAAATGGCCTCCCATGAAGTTGAAGATGCAGAGCTGGGGTCAGCCTTAGCCCATGGTATCCCAGGCAGTGAGGCAGGACCAGACAGGGTGAATAATTCTGTCTACCAGCCCATTGATGGATCACAACACTATCAGAAAGGAGAACTACAATTCCTTGGGGTAAGTCATCCTTAGTTTAAAAATTGATTTAAGAGGGAAGAGAAAAAATCAGTTGACCTGTGAAGAATGTATATTTGAACTGTGAGGATTCTTTTACATGTGGATTTCTTCCACCTCTGTCATCCCGAAACAGCAAGAACACCCCCTGCACTCTCCTTCTTCCTCAGTCTATTCAATGTGAAGAGGATAAGGATGAAGATCTCTAAAAGTGGATGAAAATCCACTTAATGAATAGTAAATACATTTTCTCTTTCTTATGATTTCCTTAACAACATTTTAGTTTCTCTAGCTTATTATATATAATATGTCACATACAAAATATGTAATAATTGACTGTTTATGTTATTGGTAAGGCTTCTGGTCAATGGTAGGCTATTAGTAGCTAAGTTTTTGGGAAGTCAAAAGTTATATGTGGATTTTCAATGGTGAAGGGGTAAACATTCTAAACCCTTATGTTATTCAAGAGTCAACTGTATCATGTGAATTACTTTTTTATAATTTTATTTATATGAAATTTATAAATTTTATAATTCTGAATTATTTATCACTGAGTTGATGAAGAATTGGAGAAAAGACAGGGATTTATTATAGATCTGGGGAGCAGAAATGCAGAAGCATTCTCTCATGGTAGAAAACATCAAACCTTGGAGAATAAATTCCAAGACCCTTTATTTTTTGCTTTGTGCCTTTGACCAGCCATTTCAGGAGGCTGAGCTCTATGAAGCTTACGTTCTGTATTTTAAATTCAAAAATTGTGTTGAGAGAAAGGCTGAGTAGAATATGGGTTACCCTCTGTCTGCCTTCATCATATTATGGCCCCAAAAACATGCTGTGAAGAGACTTTGACTCCATCTACCTTACCAGCCATGTTTCCTTTGCTCTCCTGCCACTTGAGGAGTTCGTGAGAATGAATAGAAATGTAGGGGAGAAGTGAAGATGAAAGGCTGCCGCTGGAATTGGTGGGGATAGTGTGGAACAACAAACACTTTCAGTTAAGCTCTTGCCCAGTGAATTTAGCCTTGACACTTAAACCATTTTGAGCACTGACATCTCCTTTATGAGGACAATTAAAATGGTCTGTTTTCAGTGTACACTTCAGTAAATGACTGTTATGACTCTTTTTTTCCTTCTTTTTTCAGGCCATCCAGATCCTGAATGCAGCAATTATTCTCGCTTTGGGTATCTTTCTGGGTTCCTTGCAATACCTGTTCTACTTCAACAGGCACTTCTTTTTCTTCACCTTCTACACAGGCTACCCAATTTGGGGTGCTGCGTTTGTGAGTATTCATAATCCCCTGGCTGTGTGTTATTTCTTAGATATCACTGCTGGAGATGTGTTCGATGACAAAAGTATTGTTTGTAGGTTATCTGAAGGTTGCATGCTGTGATTTTGATTTGCAATTCTTGATACAAGCATTTAGAAACGAACTTTTTCTTTTTTTCTTTTTTAATTTGTTACTTACTTATTTTTTTGATACAGGGTCTTGGTCTGTGGTCCAGGCTGGATTGGCCTCCCAAAATGCTGGAATTGCCAGGTGTGATCCCTGATGCTTGGCCAAAAACTTCTTTCTGATTAAGAGAAATCACATTTGCCAAGTACAAATGAAGTCCTAAAAATTATCGTATATCTATGTGTTACATTTATAGATACTTAAAAAATTGAATGAAAAATGGGTATTCAGGCGTGATGGCTCACGCCTGTTGAGGCAGGTGGATCACAAGGTCAGGAGTTCGAGATAAGTCTGGCAATTCCAGCATTTTGGGAGGCCAACCTGAGAGGACCACTTGTGGTCAGGAGTTCGAGACCATCCTGGGAAATATGGTGAAACCCCATCTCTACTAAAAATACAAAAACAAAAATTAGCTGGGCATGGTGGTTCATGCTTGTAATCCCAGCTACTCTGGAGATGGAGGGACGAGAATCACTTGAACTGGGGAGGCAGAGGTTGCAGTGAGCCAAGATCGTGCCTCTGCACTCCAGCCTGGACAACAGACCAAGACCCTGTCTCAATTTTGTGTCCTGGAATGTAAATTTTAAAAAGGAGGTTTGTGTGACTATTGCTGGATATCTGCTAATTGAGGGAGGGCCAAGAAGAAAATGATTGAGACTTAATATTCCTTTATATGTTTTACTCCCTGTTTTCAAACAGTTTTGTACTTCAGGAACCTTGTCTGTTGTAGCAGGGAGAAAACCCACAAGAGCATGGGTAAGTAGTACTTCTTCTTTTTCTATGATCAGAGGAGTAGAAATAAATTTTTCATAAACAGTAGGAGAGTAGGGGGGGTCTATGGATACAACTGAGACACTAAGTATCATTTAATGTATAAAACATTAGTTTTCTTAACGTATTCAGGTGGTAGGTCAGCAGAAGATCACACAGATTTTGAGTGTGCATTTTTGGGGTGCTTACTCTGAATATTGGTGAATCTGAAGCTTAGAAAAAGTCTTCTTGATTTTTATGTGTTGCCAAGTTTGACCAATTCTAATTATTTGGACGTAAGAACTCCCACCACTAACTACTTTCACAACTGAAAGTCCAGACTTCTATTCCTAAACAACTGCTACGTCTCTATGATGTGTTCTCAGTGAATCATGCAGCCATTGACACTCTACTTTCCTACTCCATTCATTCACGTTCCCTCCTCCATGGAAGGCTATTTTACCATTTTACTCTGGCCTCAAACACCAATGCTTCTTCTCTCATCCTTACTCACTGCTGATGATGTTTTTGTCTCTTTTGAGAAAACTGAAACCGTTAGAAGAGAATTTTCAGACCTCTACTACTTAATGGACTAGAACTTTACCAATATATATATATTTTCTAGTCTCTTACGATAGGTAAACTCCCTGTGATTTTCTTTACAGTGGATCTCCCTACTTGAGTATGAAGTATAAGGTTCCATTCTTTTTTTCTCCACACAAGTATATCACTTTAATTTGTGTCCCTCTGCTAGTTTTTTTTTTTCTTTTTACAGGTTCGCACTCTGTCACCCAGGTGAGAGTACAGTGGTGTGGTCACAGCTCACTACATCCTCCACATTCCAGGGCCAAAGCAATGTTCCCACCTCAGCCTCTCGCATAGCTGTGGCTACAGGTGCATGCCACCATGCCTGTCTAATTTTTGTCTTTATTTATTTATTTATTTATTTATTTTTTTTTTGTAGAGACAGGATCTTGCCATGTTGCCCAGGCTGATCTCAAAATCCTGGGCTCAATCAATCCTCATGCCTCAGCCTCTCAAAACGCTGAAATTAAAGGCATGAGTTACCTTGCCCAGTCTCTGATCAGCATGTAAGCATCCAGTTACTGTTCTCAACTTAAAACAAAACAAGGAAACTTTGACAGTATTTCTCCCTGCTAGGTGCAGGCACAATTTGTATTTCCTTCTGTAGCTAAACTCCTTCAAAGGAATTATCATGTTCTTCCTCTAATTTCTATCTACCTGGTTTCGATTAAACCCACTTCAGTAAGACTTTATTTCCTACTATTCTTCTGTAACTGCTGTCTTTAAGATCACTGAAAACTTCCACCTTGCTAAAACAATGGTCGATTCTTGATCCTCATCTAACTTAACCTAGGAGTAGCATTTATCGTAGTTAGTCACCCACTTTCCTTCCAGGAATTTCCTCACTTGGCTTCCAGCATACATCGGTTTTCCTCCCATCTTTTGGTTTCTCCATCTCAGTCTCCCTTCCTGGATCCTTTCCTTCTCTCTGACCTTTTAATATCCTGGTGCCCCAGAGCTGAATTCTTTGCCACCTAGTCTTCTCAATCTATGGCTGCTTCTTCTGTGATTTCACACATTCTCATGACTTCAAATAACATCTATATTCCCATAACCCTGAAATAAGTATTTCCAGCCTAGGTCTATCTCCTGATCATCGGATTGGCATGAACAGATCCAAAGGTCAACTCCCAGTCTCTTCCTCCAACCTTCTCCTCATGTCAGCTGATGGGAACTTCATCCTTCCAGATTTCCTGACCAAACACCTTGCAATATCCCTGAGTCTTCTTTCTTTCACAATCCTGAATCCGATTTATCAGCAAATAATGTCGGCTCTATTTTCAAGCTATTATTATACCTGATTTTGACCTTTTCTCATCTTTCTACTAATGACATCTCATCCAGTCCACCTTGTCTCTACTAATCAGGCTCCCAGCTTTTATCGTTGAACTTCTCTTTGCCTTGCTAGAAACAGTGATCCCCTGAAGCCATAAAGCCAAGTGTATCATTTATTTGCTCCAAATCCTTCATTGGCTTTGTATTTTTCTTAGAGTTAGAAACAAAGTCCTTTTCATGATTCTGCAGAGCCCTACATGATTTAGCTCTCTGTTAACTTTCCTTCTTCTTCATTTCCTAATATGGCCCATGTGCCTCCAATGCCATTGGCCCCCTTGCTTCCCCAGAAGATTTTGGCCTCAGGACTTTGAACTGAGTCTTTCCCCAACTGCAAGGATATTCCCTCAGATATCCTCTTGGTTGGCACCCACAGCTCTTTCACGCCTCTCCCAGGTGTCATTTCTATTTAATATCATGAACCACCTCTCTTTGGATTCCCAGTTTCTCCTTATCCCATTCTATTAGCCCCTAGTACTTAATCACCTTCAAAAATATTATGTAATTTACCTATTAGTATGTTTACTTTTTTCTTTGTTTTTATTGCTAGAATGTAAGCTTCATGGAGGGTGGGGAACAGAAAAATCTTTCTTTGGTCATTGATGTTTGCCTTGCATCTAGGATGGGTGTGTAAACAATATTCGATCAATGTTTGTTTCAGTGAATAGTTGCCAGAGGAATGAAGTGTGTGCTGAAGATATTAATTGAAAATTCTTATTATTTTTCAGATGCAACACAATTTTGGAATGAACTTTGCCAGTGCTTCGATTGCATTAGTGGGGATTGCTTTTCTCTCAGTAAATTTAGCAGTTAATGTCCAGGCATTAAAGAGTTGTCAGTCTTTACCATCACTGGACCTATGCATTTACATGGGCTCCATATCAAATGTATGTTTTTGAAGAATATGTATAATAATAAAATATTTCATACAATCCAGAATGTATAGAAAAATAATATGTCAGGTACCATGCTACATAATTTGAATCTTGAGTCTGCTGCCTATTTGCTCTGTAATGAAGGGCAAATTAGATAATCCTTTGAATTTTTTTTTTTGAAATGAGAATAACAACCCATCTCATAGGATTGCTATGAGAATTTAATTAGTTAACATATGATAAACAATTAAAACAAGGCTTAACATATTATGTTACACAATTATTAACATTACTCTAACAACTACTATTACACTCACCAGAGAAATTTTTTGGAAGTTTCATTTCATATTTCTTTGCTTAATAAAACAAACGGGAGATTTACAGCTTTCTCTGAAATCTGGAATGTTCAAATCATGAGTTGAGGTTTTGAAGGACTTCACTTTAGAATTAAATGAATATGGTGTTTTAAAAGGAAAGCTCTTTAATAACCTTACCAAGGATTTTTTGAGACAGAATCTTGCTCCATTGCCAGGTGCCAGGCTGGAGTGCAGTGGTGTGATCTCGGCTCACTGCAACCTCCACCTCCTGGGTTCAAGCGATTCTCCCTCCTCAGCCTCCCGAGTAGCTGGGACTATAGGCACACGCCACCACGCCCAGCTAATTTTTGCATTTTTAGTAGAGATTGTGTTTCACCATGTTGGCCAGAATGGTCTTGATCTCTTGACCTCCCAAAGTGCTGGGAATATAGGCATGAACCACCACACCAGGCCCCTTACCAAGTTTTTTAAATTTGTGTTTAGGTATTCTACTTCTTCTGAGGTCTACTTAGAAATTAATATTTTCCCTTGGAATTATCCATTTCATTCCAATGATCTATGAACCATTAGTTATAGACTCACTCCTAAGCTTTCTGCTTTCTGACACTACTCATGGAAGTTTGTGTTCTCATTTTCTTTATTATATTTTTAATGATCTAAATTTATATTTGTCAGAGCCTGATTTTTCTGTAGATTTGGTAGTATTTTTCCACCAGGGATATATTGTATTGGTTGCTTCTAGGTGCCTCAGTAATAATAGTGGAGTCACTAGCCCAAAAACAATTTTATTTTGTGTTTAGATCAGCTTAGTGTTTTAGTTTCTAGGGATAAAGTAAATGCCTCAGCTCCTATGAAGTACTGTTAATGAAATTGTGGAAGGGTCATTTTTGTTCATTTTCCTAAACTGCCTGCTCCTCTCCTTAATTTACTACTAATTCAAATTGGAAGGTGTTAGTGATAGTGTCAGAATTTTGTTTCTATAGTTTCTCCTCCCTGTAGCTACTTCATATGAGTTGACATAGAAATGCCACACATCTTTCTCTTCAGATAAAATATTTTCATGCTTTTAGATTGAGATACTATCCCTTCTACAGTGTTATGTGTGTCTGTGTCTTAAATCTAATTTATGGTTCACTTTGTTCCATTCTATGGAAAGGAGATGTTTTGTCTGGTTTCCTGCTGACATTTTTTTTTCCTCTCTGGATGTTGCCACTGGGTTTGATATGAGGCATCATATCCCTTAGGGCATGGTGTCTCTACTGCTGATTTTCACCTTCTTGGAATTGTGCATAAACATCTCTACCGTGGCCATGTGGTGCAATGCAAACTGCTGTAAGTCTAGAGAGGTGAGGTTTTTCAAATGATTAATCATTCACATGGTCTTAAAGCCTCCCTCTAGGATTTGAAGTTGTTTCTGACTCTTAAACCTTTATGCGGTAATGATTTGTAGAGTTCTTGGAGTTAGAGATTGTATGAGTGTTAGAGATGGAATGAAGGCTAAAAAAGAATTTGGATGTGAAAATGCAAGAGGAAAAACTGTATTTAATATATAAGAGCACACATTCCCACCTTGAAAAGATGGCCGTTGAAGTTGGAGGTTATACAAGGTATACAGGTACAGCTGGAATTAAGTTATTATTTTCTAATAACTTGTGACTTTCTACCTATATGACCCAGGAAAAATGAATAATTCTTTCTTAATTTTAGATGTATTAACTGTAAAATGAAAATAATATTTTCATTCTCTTCTGATGTTTGCTGTGAGGACCGTGTATGTAATCTTTACAGCGTTTGGCCCAGTAATAATCAGTGAATGGATTTTATTGTTGATTATTATGATGACAACAGAAAGGGATGGGAGGCGAAGGAGATGATGATCCTATTCTTGGCCATTAATGTTGTTTTATTTTCCAGGTGATTTCCTCATCTCCCAATTCTGTGGAACCAAGAATACCTCCTTATGAAAATAATTCTGAGAGCTGAATATTTGACCATAAATCTCCAGTGACTCAGAGATTTACCCGCAAACTCAGGAGAACATGAGCCTGCCTGTAAAGCTCAATTTTTCTATCATGTCACCAATCACAAGAACCTTGGACGTCTGACTGACTCTATCCTTTCTCTCCTTACTGTAAATCCTACTAGTGTGTTGTGGGTATAGAAGGGCAGATATATCTCTTCAGGCATTCTTGGATTTGTAACTTCTATGATCATTACTTCAAAGTTGCTTCAGAAATTAGTTCTATTTTTTCTTACCCACCTACTCCATTGCTTTATGAGGTTTAAGGAAGGAAGATCGTGTAATACCTATTTAATATATTTTTCCTGAAATCCAACTTCTGACTACCCAGTAGGAAGAAAATTGAGACTATTTTTTCATTACAGAGAAATGCTTCTTGACTTTAGCTAACATTAGCATTACAAAAAGTGTCAAATGAAAAAATTATCATCATTGTCACGAAGGTAAATTTTCACTGTATTTGAGGTGAGAGGGTTAAGGCTCAGGGATTTTATTTCAGTAAACTGCTGGAATTCACACATGCCCTGATATGTATATGATGATTTATGTTGGTGAGGCTGAGAGCAAGCCCAGATATGTTCTTCAGAGGACAATGGGAGACTCTAAAGTAGAGAAGCAAAGAACAAGGCCTTTAGAATCTGACAGATCTGGGTTCAAATTCTGAAACTGTCACTTATTACCTGTATGAACACGGTACCTAATCTCTCTGACCTATTTTTCCACATCTGTAAAATAGATATAATACAGACAACTACTTTGTCAGCCGCTACGAGGATTAAAAGGAAATAAAAAGGAGATGTGGAACAGCATCAAAGGTCTTTGATGATGTTGCTGTTGGTGGTGGTCTTGCTATTGCTGTTGAAAGCTTAGGTGGGATTGTGGTCAGATGCACTGGAGAGATACGGCGGAAGGCCTTACTTACATTTCCATTGTGCCTCCTCGTATAACCTCCAATAACTTCAATGGCCATCTTTTCAAGGTAGCAATGTGGTGTGAAAGCTTCCCTCAGTTCCTCATTTATATATCTGCTGAAGCACTTATATTTCTTACTCATAAATATTCAAGATAAATAAAATGTATGAATTAGAAATATAAACACTTATTGTGTCCATAAATGTTCATCCACAAGTTACTCTTAGCTGCTTGTGTATCATATGTGCAAATGTTCTTCTCTACTACTTCTTGCCTACTATGTAATAAATATTTCTTTATTTTTAATCCATTCAGTGATCATTTGGGGAGTGCCTATTATGTGTCATGTATTGTGCTAAGATTTTGGCATATAATAGAGAATGATGCATAAGCTCTGCTCTTAAGTCACTTGTAGTGGGAGATATAGACCCCTAAAAACACATAAGGGCTATGATAGGAAGAGTATAGGAATTTTGAGAAGCACATAAGAAGAGTTTCTAACTCAGATTAGAAGACATGTCAGTGATAATTTTTCAGAAGACTTTTCTTCTTAACTGAGATCTTAAAGATAACTGGGAGTTTACACAATGGAAGGGAAATGGAAGAAAAGGGGATACATTCAAAGCCTTTAAGTTAGAAAAAGTTTTGAATATTCAAAGAATAAACTAGGAACTTTAGTGGGTCTAACTTCAGTGTATAATGGGTAGATGGAAAGATAAAAGTTTGAAGAGAGAAGTGTATGTCACAAGAGATTATAAAATGACAACTCTGTGAGTCTTAAGAAGCAACTGAAAATTTATACAAGTACAGGGCATGGTAGCTCACGTCTGTAATCCCAGCAATTTGGGAGGCTGAAGCGGGTGGATTACTTGAGGTCAGGAGTTTGAGACCAGCCTGGCTAACATGATGAAACCCCGTCTGTACTAAAAATACAAAAATTAGCTGGGCATGGTGGCACATGCCTGTAATCCCAGCCACTCTGGAGGCTGAGGTAGGAGAATCACTTGAACCTAGGAGGCAGAGGTTGCAGTGAGCCAAGATTGTACCACTGCACTCCAGCCTGGGTGACAGAGTGAGACTCCATCTCAACAACAGCAACAACAAAAATTTTACACAGGGATGTCCTGACACTGGCTTATATTGGTTTGTGGAAGTCAATTTTAAATTTCCAGGGAGCACAAGTCAACATAATTTGGGTAGCTTGAAATTAGCTATGATGAGAGGATTTATACCACAGAGATGGGAAAAGCTACAAATTTTAGCATTCACATGTAGACTTTGCCTGCAGCAAACACTATTGTGTTGTTCAAAAGGTGATTTTGTTTCCCTCATTTCTACTTTATTTATCATTTAAATGTTTCAGTAAGGAAGATTTGTGTCTTCTCTATTATTTATTTATTAAAGTATTTGTATCATTATCATTTTGTACTCATAAATATTTATATTTTTCTTTTGGTTATGACCAATATTTATTTTGTTTCTCAAAGTTTTCCAACTGTGGCCATTGGGAGCTGAGTTGGTTCCTGTGTAGTTTTTGCATGCTCCATCCCACCCTTCCCTTTTTACCATGTTCATATTTTCTGGATCTACAAGGTTCTTCATGTTATTTCACCTGCTACAGACCTAGAATTTTCATTTCTTCAGGGAGCCCTGGTTTCTTTATTGAGAGAACTATGTTTAGAAAACCTGATCTGGGGGCAAGATATGCTTATTGCTACTGTGTGTCACTGCTTCCAGGCCCTCTCAGGGGACAAAGCTACGAAATATATGCATGTACACTAACCCAGGCACACATATGTCTATATTTGTTATTATATGTATGTATGTATCTATCCAGCTCTCTCTTCTCTCTATTATGAATTCCTACTGATAAATTCTACTCAAACATGGCCACACAGTTTCCTTGCTAGCAACCTCCCAACTTTGCTTATTTATAACCTGTTTTCTGAGTATAATATGTCTGGCAACAATTTCCACAATCAAGGAGAGGAATCATCCTTCAGTGTCTTATAAGATTGTTGTAGGAGTCTGTAGGTCATCTTGCAGGGTTGTCTCAAGTATTGAACAAAAGACAGAGGTTCTGAGAAAAAACAGCAAATGACTCCAGCGTAGAGAGAGAAAATTGAGAGGGACCTAAGAGACATCTACGGTGATGTACTGTTTCTGGAAAAGTTCTTGATCCTATGCCTCAGAAGCAGAGAGCAAAATCTATTTAAAAATGAAAGAGACTACTATTGCTGCTTGGCCTGAGGTTTCTGCTGGTGATGACAAGAAAAAGGTTGTAGATCAGTTGCAACAAGCATACCAATAAGCTTGTGAAATCATCAAAAAGGAAATGCAACCAACAAATCCTATCAGATTGGATCTGGCCCTTAATGTCTCTGTCTTCTATTATGAGCTTCTGAACTCCCCAGAGAGAAATCCTGTTCACTTGTAAAGGCAGCTTTGGTGAAGCCCTTGTTGAACTTGACACGTTAAGTAAAGTTATACAAAGACAGCTTGCTAATGCAGTAACTGAGGGACAACTTGCCATGTGGACATTGGATACTCAAGGAGATGAAACTGGAGCAAGAGGAAGAAAAAATTAACCAGCCTTCCAACTTTTGTCTGCCTCATTCTAAAATTTACACCGTAGATGGCTTGTCTTTCATGCTATCCCACAAATAGCTTTTTGTTTAGATTTGTCACAGGTTTATGTTTGTTGCAGCAATATTCACGATGGCCAAGATATGGAATTTCTATTTTAATTTCAATACTTCCCATGTGGTTTTTTTATGTTTAACATTAGGATATTAGAGCCAGTTAACATTTAGGGAGTTATCTATTTTCATTTTGAGATGACAAAAATGGAGATGTGGAATTTTTATATAAATTATATAAATTATAAATATTCAGCATAGTACTTTTGGTACATTGTGACTTCACAATCGCCAGAATTAAAGCTGCCTCCATGTCTGAATGAAGAAAACTGCCTACAAATTGGTTTGTCCTGGTGGGGAATAAAAGGGATAATTTGTTCCAGTCACAGGTATAGTAACTGTGGGTCCTTTAAGATTTTGAGCACTTACAAGATTGTGGTAGAAACAGACATGCTATGGATACCACATGTTAAACCATGTATGTCTGCAGAATACTCAATCTCAATGTGCCCACCTTTGACTACAGCTACAGAAGTGATTCTTTAGACAAAGCTAAGGCCAGTTTACTCTGGATAAGGGCAGAAATGGTTTATGTTCCATTATTTGTGAAGTTCACTGCTGTTTGCTTTCATTATTTTTGCTATGCTCATTATCTTTGTATTCAAATGTTTTAGGCAACCTAAGAACAAATATAAAAGTAAAGATGTAGTAAAAGTGAATTGCTTGACAGTCATTACTTCATGTATATCAAGCAAATCAGTAAAATTTACGAAAAGTATTTAACTTCTTTAATGTTTTTTTCTTTTATGATTTTTTTTGATACTTGCCTCACATGTACATGCTGTAAAAGTAGTTAACGGAGAAATAACTTGAGATGATGCATAGTTTTGTTTAATATCTTATGATATTTTTATGAACACTCCAACATAATTGTTAACAACACATGTATTATGTTCATTTAAGTGGAATAAATATATGAATAGCCTTTCCACTACTTTCTCTGTAGCTTTTGATGTAAATTAGTCTTTTGAGTCTAAAACTTCTCTGAAGGAAGCTGTACATTTTTTGAAATGTATTCCTTATTCTCTCTTGGCAGCTAATGGGATTTTACCAAGTTTAAACACAGAGTTTATTATAGCAAAAACACTACTAACATAATTACCATTTGCAACCATGTCCCATGTTCCCCTCTCCTCCTCCTTACCCTGGAGAAAATGAGTTTTGTTTTTTTCTAGTGGAAGGAGGTTAATTGGAAAAAAGTAATACGTTTCATTTAAAATTTTGGTATACAGCATTTTCTAACTTAGGAAGCCACAATGTTCTTGCCCCATCATGACATTGGGTAGCATTAACTGTGAATGTTGGGCTTCAAAATCACTTTTGGTTTTTAAGAAACTTAGATACTATTATAGGCTGCCTTTGATTTTGAAACTTTATTCTTTCTATTTGTCAGAAACATAAGATTACCTTTCTTTTTTAGCCTTCTCTCTTGTCACCAACCATTCCTACTTGGTGGCTGTTTACTTGGAAAAAGGCTACGTGATCTTTCTGGCTCCACTAAATGTCTAAGACACCCTGCTTCCTTTGCTTGCATCCCACAAACTATTTCCCTCATTGATGAGATTGTGTTTATCTCCCTTTAAACCTTCCCTATCCCGAATAGTCTGTCATTTTCTGCCTTTAAAATCTTTCCTCTCTCTTTTGCTCTATTGTCTAAGTAATAATGCGGTTAAGTTATCCCCAAAGTTCACTCTACAGAAAATTTCCTCAATACTTTGCAGAAAACTCCAAACAAATCATATTAAAAGAGGCATATTTTTTTTTCTTTTAGAATGTAAGCTCCTAAAGAGGAGGGGCAATGTTGTCTGTATGTTCTATTGTGCCTCGCACATTGTAAATGCTCAATAAATATTGATGACGGGAGGCAGTGAGTCTTGATTATGAAGGTGAGAAACACTGGTGAGAAATCCCAAACACTGGGTTGTTGCTTGTTTTATTATGACCTTAGATTAAGTTGGAAAATATTTGCCCCTGTTGAATAGCTGTCCCAAATATTACATTCAAATAAAAATACAATGGAGGAAAAAAATTAACAAGTTCTGGGTATCTAGGGTAATACAGCTTGGCTGTGTCCCCACCCAAATCTCATCTTGAATTATAGTTTCCATAATTCCTATGTGTTGTGAGAGGGACCCTGTGGGAGGTAATTGAATCATGGGGGTGGTTACCCCTATGTTACTGTTCTTATGATGGTGAGTGAGTTCTGACAAGATCTAATGGTTTTTAAAGAGGCTTCCCTCTTTGCTCAGCATTTCTCCTTCCTGCCCTCATGTGAAGAAGGACGTGTTTGCTTCCCCTTCTGCCATGATTCTAAGTTTCCTGAGACCTTCCTAGCCATGTGGAACTGTGAATCAATTAAACCTTTTTCCTTTATAAATTGCCCAGTCTCAGGCAGTTCTTTATATCAGTGTGAGAACAGACTAATAGATAAGGTATGGTATGGGTGGTGATGAATATGTAAATTAATTTGATTATAGTAGTCATTACACAATGTATATGTTTATCAAGTCATTACATTGTACACCTTGCATATATACAACCTTTGTCAATTACATATTTAAAAGGTGGGGCAGGGGAATAAGCAAGCATGGAAACCCCTACCAGCCACCTACAT